TCCTCATCTCTCACACACACACACACGCTACATGCCTCATCTCTCACACACACACACACCGCTACATCCCTCATCTCACACACACACACACCGCTACATGCCTCATCTCTCACACACACACACACACCGCTACATGCCTCATCTCTCACCACACACACACACCGCTACATGCCTCATCTCTCTCACACACACACACCGCTACATCCCTCATCTCACACACACACACACCGCTACATGCCTCATCTCTCACACACACACACCGCTACATCCCTCATCTCTCACACACACACACACCGCTACATGCCTCATCTCTCACACACACACACCGCTACATCCCTCATCTCACACACACACACACCGCTACATCCTCATCTCTCACACACACACACACACCGCTACATCCCTCATCTCTCACACACACACACCGCTACATGCCTCATCTCTCTCACACACACACACCGCTACATCCCTCATCTCTCACACACACACACACCCGCTACATGCCTCATCTCTCACACACACACACCGCTACATGCCTCATCTCTCACACACACACACACCGCTACATGCCTCATCTCTCACACACACACACACACCGCTACATGCCTCATCTCTCACACACACCACACCGCTACATGCCTCATCTCTCACACACACACACACCGCTACATGCCTCATCTCTCACACACACACACACCGCTACATGCCTCATCTCTCTCACACACACACACACACCGCTACATCCTCATCTCTCACACACACACACACCGCTACATCCCTCATCTCTCACACACACACACACACCGCTACATGCCTCATCTCTCACACACACACACACACCGCTACATGCCTCATCTCTCACACACACACACACCGCTACATGCCTCATCTCTCACACACACACACACCGCTACATGCCTCATCTCTCACACACACACACACCGCTACATGCCTCATCTCTCACACACACACACACCGCTACATCCCTCATCTCTCTCACACACACACACACCGCTACATCCCTCATCTCTCACACACACACACACACACCGCTACATGCCTCATCTCTCACACACACACACGCTACATCACAATGCCTCATCTCTCACACACACACACACACCGCTACATGCCTCATCTCTCACACACACACACACCGCTACATGCCTCATCTCTCACACACACACACCGCTACATCCTCATCTCTCACACACACACACACACCGCTACATCCCTCATCTCTCACACACACACACACACCGCTACATGCCTCATCTCTCACACACACACACCGCTACATGCCTCATCTCTCACACACACACACACACCGCTACATGCCTCATCTCTCACACACACACACACACCGCTACATGCCTCATCTCTCACACACACACACCGCTTACATCCCTCATCTCACACACACACACACACACCGCTACATCCCTCATCTCTCACACACACACACACCGCTACATGCCTCATCTCTCACACACACACACAGACACCGCTACATGCCTCATCTCTCACACACACACACACCGCTACATGCCTCATCTCTCACACACACACACACACACCGCTACATCCCTCATCTCTCACACACACACACACCGCTACATCCCTCATCTCTCACACACACACACACACCGCTACATGCCTCATCTCTCACACACACACACACACCGCTACATGCCTCATCTCTCACACACACACACCGCTACATCCCTCATCTCTCACACACACACACACACCGCTACATCCCTCATCTCTCTCACACACACACACACCGCTACATGCCTCATCTCTCACACACACACACACACAACCGCTACATGCCTCATCTTTCACACACACACACACACACACCGCTACATGCCTCATCTCTCACACACACACACACACACCGCTACATGCCTCATCTCTCTCACACACACACACACACCGCTACATGCCTCATCTCTCACACACACACACACACACCGCTACATGCCTCATCTCTCTCACACACACACACACCGCTACATGCCTCATCTCTCACACACACACACACACATACCGCTACATGCCTCATCTCTCACACACACACACACACACACACACACCGCTACATCCCTCATCTCTCTCACACACACACACACCGCTACATGCCTCATCTCTCACACACACACACACACACCGCTACATGCCTCATCTCTCACACACACACACACACACCGCTACATGCCTCATCTTTCACACACACACCGCTACATGCCTCATCTCTCTCACACACACACACACCGCTACATGCCTCATCTCTCACACACACACACACACCGCTACATCCCTCATCTCTCTCACACACACACACACCGCTACATCCCTCATCTCACACACACACACCGCTACATGCCTCATCTCTCACACACACACACACACACACCGCTACATCCCTCATCTCTCACACACACACACCGCTACATCCCTCATCTCTCACACACACACACACACCGCTACATGCCTCATCTCTCACACACACACACACACCGCTACATGCCTCATCTCTCACACACACCACACCGCTACATGCCTCATCTCTTACACACACACACACACCGCTACATGCCTCATCTCTCACACACACACACCGCTACATGCCTCATCTCTCACACACACACACACACCGCTACATCCCTCATCTCTCTCACACACACACACACCGCTACATCCCTCATCTCACACCACCACTACACACACACACACCGCTACATGCCTCATCTCTCACACACACACCGCTACATGCCTCATCTCTCACACACACACCACACACACCGCTACATGCCTCATCTCTCACACACACACCGCTACATGCCTCATCTCTCACACACACACACACCGCTACATGCCTCATCTCTCACACACACACCGCTACATCCCTCATCTCTCACACACACACACACACACCGCTACATCCCTCATCTCTCACACACACACACCGCTACATGCCTCATCTCTCACACACACACACACCGCTACATCCCTCATCTCTCACACACACACACACCGCTACATCCCTCATCTCTCACACACACACACACCGCTACATCCCTCATCTCACACACACACACACACCGCTACATCCCTCATCTCTCACACACACACACACCGCTACATGCCTCATCTCTCACACACACACACACCGCTACATGCCTCATCTCTCACACACACACACACACACCGCTACATGCCTCATCTCTCACACACACACACCGCTACATCCCTCATCTCTCACACACACACACACACACAACCGCTACATGCCTCATCTCTCACACACACACACACCGCTACATGCCTCATCTCTCACACACACACACACCGCTACATCCCTCATCTCTCACACACACACCACCGCTACATGCCTCATCTCTCTCACACACACACACACACACCGCTACATGCCTCATCTCTCACACACACACACCGCTACATCCCTCATCTCTCACACACACACACACACCGCTACATCCCTCATCTCTCTCACACACACACACACACCGCTACATGCCTCATCTCTCACACACACACACCGCTACATCCCTCATCTCACACACACACACCGCTACATGCCTCATCTCTCACACACACACACACACACCGCTACATCCCTCATCTCTCACACACACACACCGCTACATCCCTCATCTCTCACACACACACACACACCGCTACATGCCTCATCTCTCACACACACACACACCGCTACATGCCTCATCTCTCACACACACACACACCGCTACATGCCTCATCTCTCACACACACACACACACCGCTACATGCCTCATCTCTCACACACACACACCGCTACATGCCTCATCTCTCACACACACACACACACCGCTACATCCCTCATCTCTCTCACACACACACACACCCGCTACATCCCTCATCTCACACACACACACACACACACCGCTACATGCCTCATCTCTCACACACACACCGCTACATGCCTCATCTCTCACACACACACACACACACACCGCTACATGCCTCATCTCTCACACACACACCGCTACATGCCTCATCTCTCACACACACACACACCGCTACATGCCTCATCTCTCACACACACACCGCTACATCCCTCATCTCTCACACACACACACACACACCGCTACATCCCTCATCTCTCACACACACACACACACACACACACACACACCGCTACATCCCTCATCTCTCACACACACACACCGCTACATGCCTCATCTCTCACACACACACACACCGCTACATCCCTCATCTCTCACACACACACACACACCGCTACATCCCTCATCTCTCACACACACACACACCGCTACATCCCTCATCTCACACACACACACACACCGCTACATCCCTCATCTCTCACACACACACACACCGCTACATGCCTCATCTCTCACACACACACACACCGCTACATGCCTCATCTCTCTCACACACACACACACACACCGCTACATGCCTCATCTCTCACACACACACACCGCTACATCCCTCATCTCTCACACACACACACACACACACCGCTACATGCCTCATCTCTCACACACACACACACCGCTACATGCCTCATCTCTCACACACACACACACCGCTACATCCCTCATCTCTCACACACACACACACCGCTACATGCCTCATCTCTCTCACACACACACACACACACCGCTACATGCCTCATCTCTCACACACACACACACCGCTACATGCCTCATCTCTCACACACACACACCGCTACATCCCTCATCTCTCACACACACACACACCGCTACATGCTCTTATGCCCATTTCATGACATGTACAGTCAAACCAAACATTAATCAGACACCAGATATAATTTTTGCAAATAAGATAATTATATCTATAAATAAGAATGCTGTTCTCATTTTCATCTCTCTCTCTCTCTCTCTCTCTCTCTCTCTCTCTCTCTCTCTCTCTCTCTCTCTCTCTCTCTCTCTCTCTCTCTTTAGTATTCGTCAGAGGAAGAGGTCGTGGACCTGCAGACGGCCCTCACAGGCTTTCAGACGAAACAGAGGAAAGTTCTGGAGCCGGTTGATCATCAGAAGATCGAATATGAACCGTTCCGCAAGAACTTCTACGTGGAAGTGCCGGAGCTGGCCCGGATGAGCCCCGAAGGTCTGCTCCACACACACTGACCTGACATCACTCTTCAGCACCGCTGCTCCTGGCTCCTTCTGGGGGTCACAGGGGTCATGACATGAGGAGGCAAATCTGACACACAGGATATAATTGTACCATTAAAACATCCCACGAGTTTCAGAGCTTAAACCTCCAAAGCATTTATTTAATCTAGCTCGAAATACAGCTCGTTTTGATATTGCGGGATCTGTGACATCACACGGGAAAATACATTTACATATGCAGTGTAAGACATCGACCAATAGTTATAGATCACACCATAGGCTCCGCCCACTGCACTAATTCGTTCGGCTCGCGTTTTTTGGTGTAATAAACTTTAAGTTTATAAGTGAACCTCAGGGAACATTAAATAATAATTCAAAAATCCATGTCATGACCCTTTTATTGCGGAGAACCAGTGTTTCCTCTACATTCATTCTGCCGTGGCGGGCCGCCACACCTAAAATCATCCCGCCACGCTGCAGCTTCTCAGTGAGGTCCGATATTGTGCATAGTACTATTGTTATTGTTAAGCTAAAGGCATAAAAAACATTGTAAAGCACCATAAAGTTTTCGCACTATATTCCAAGACTTCTAAAGTCATTCAAGAGCATAATGTGAGGTAAAAATGAATATTTAAGTCGTTAAGTTAAAGTTAATGGAAACTCTTCTCTCCTCAGTCATTCTCCATTCAGCATTCACACAGCGCGTCACGTTCGATTACGACAGTAACACGACGACACTCTCTTCAAGATCAATGTTCCCATTACTATACTTTATTTGTAGATAAAGGTCTATAGTTTGCATAAAATGACTTTATCTTGCTGGATTTTATAGCGCTTTCTAAATCATATTCCTTTCTCCTGGGTGTCTGTTAGATTAACTTACAGCACTAGAGTAGAGAGCACTATGAACTGTTCTTCATGCGCACTGTAACTGAAATTTAAAACTGTTCAAAGAAAAGGCTCAATAAACTGTTGCATAGATATAATACATTAAGCATAGATAGATATAATCTCTTCGCTTTGTGCTTTGAGCTTTTCAATGTGAAGCGCTGCGCTGTGACTTCGCGTTGCTTCAAGTGCATCACTCTGCGCACGCGATGCGCATAATCGCTTTGCCGCTCTTATTGGAACCTTTCATGTTATAATACTTAGGGGAGGTTTAAACACCTGGGGAGGGGGAGGGGGTGGCCAATGGGAATATCATGGCGAAATGGGCCTGCCACCACGGCTGGAAAAAATCCTAGAGGAAACACTGGGAGAACGCTTTCTGAATTGATGATTTCACTGATGATAGTGTAGGGATTGCTTTTATGAAACTGTTACTACATCATAATAATAATAATAGTAAGGATGATGATGATGAGGACTCAAATTTTCGAGATCCATCAGAGCCAGTTCTACAGTGATGTGCTGTTACCCATGATGCTCAGCGAGCTGATGATGCGTTTCCTCCCCAGAGGTGAACGAGTACCGCCTGGAGCTGGAGGGCATCGTCGTGAAAGGCAAAGGCTGCCCGAAGCCCATCAAGTCCTGGGTGCAGTGTGGCATCTCCATGAAAGTGATGAACGCGCTGAAGAAGTGAGTCACACACGCACGCGCACACACACAGGTGCACAGACACACACACACACACACACACACACACACACAGGCAGACACACACACACAGGTGCACAGACACAGACACACACACACACACAGGTGCACACACACACACACACACACACACAGGCGCACAGACACACACACACAAACACACTCACAGGCACACACACAATGACTGAGTTCTCTTCTGTATCACTGCGTTGACCACACTGTAATTGATCTTTACACAGTGATCTGAATCTATTATCAGACATTTGTTCTTGTTTTAATCATAAACTCTTTATTTTGTTCAGTTTCACAGAAAACAAGACTTTAGATTTAATGTAATTTCTCTTCTCCAGTAAATGCTTCTTGATTTAAGAATGTTTAGATGTAAAATAAGACGGAAACAGTGAGGAAGATCATCAGTTTGGTGCCGTGTGACCAGGAGACAGTCACACACACGTCTATATTCCAGTGCGAGCGATTTAAGCTGCTTTTGGCGAATCAATGAAACAGTAACAGATGTTTTGGAAGTCACATTTAGAGAACATGTACAGTCAAACCAACAATGATTCAGACACCAGATATAATTTGTTATATTTTTTTCACTAGTGTGATCAGGACACTATAGTTCATTTATGTAAGTGAGGAGACCAAAATAAAGTAAACTGTAACATATTATACCCAATAAGACTACCAGTAACATTATAAAGATGTTATTTTCAATTTTCAATTTATTTATTCGAGGATAGCCTCTTGAGATGCAACATCTCATTTTCAAGAGGGTCCTATAAACACAAATATAAAAAAACAAATAATAAGAAAACATTACATAACATACTTTACAAATACACATACAAAACTCATTCATACACAACTAATTCATACACAAGCTCTCACCCACTCACACCGATCCCTCACATTAACTTATATTTTATTCCAAGTTAAATAATACAGGTTATTTACTATTTATAATAGTAATAATAATATCACCAGTAAATTAATAAATTTAAATTAAATTGAATGAAATAAGAAAAAGTAATAACAAAATTACAAAATGAGAAAAAATTTGACCAGATAAACAAATGAAACAAGGATTGCATTTAACTTAGAAGTTAAAAGCATAGACAAGTTGTTTTGAGGTATAGAGATAGGGATGATCTGAAAAAGCGAAAAGACGTTATAGATCTCAAGGAAAGAGGGAGATTATTCCAGTCACTTGGAGCTTTATATTGAAACGTTCTACGTCCCACTTCTTTATAAATTCTGGGTACAAAGAAAAAGGGTATTGCATGTGTCTGACAGGATATGAAGATCTGCATGGAATTAGATACTGTTTTAGATAGGAGGGACAGTTAAAATAAACACATTTAAAGATAAACTGAACCCAGTGAAATTGCCTTCTTGATTTAGGTTGCAACCAGTTTAGTGATTCATACAGTAAACAGTGATGAGTTCTATAAGGACACCTCAAAACAAATCTACAGAGCGAGTTAACTACAACATTAAGAGGCATTAAATTAGTGTCGGACGTATTCTGATAAACAATATCAGCATAATCAATAATAGGCAGTATCGTCTGAGAGATTATTCTTTTTCTGACAGGAAGAGTGAAACAATTAATAGAACGGTACAGTGCATTTAGACAGGCATATGATTTTTTAGAAATAAAGTCAATATGTGGTTTAAATGAAAGTTCAGGGTCAATCCAAAGTCCAAGATATTTGAATAAGTCGACCTTCTCAAGTAGAGTCCCGTTATCTAAATTAATTTGTAACTCAGAGGAGTAAACACGACTACGTCTGGTTCCAAACAACATGCAACATGACTTCTTCCTATTCAGTAAAAGTTTGTTACTATGAAGCCATTTTTGTACCAGGTTGAAGTCAAATTGTAAGAAACTTGTGATAGATCTGAGTTAGAGGTATAAATAACAGTGTCATCAGCATACAGATGAACAAAAGACTTAGAGCACATTTGAGGCAGGTCATTAATAAAAATGGTAAAAAGAAGTGGTCCTAAGGTGGAACCTTGTGGAACACCCTTATCTACAAGTAGATAGTCGGACTGGCAACCCTGAAAAACAACGCACTGGCGTCTGCCATGAAGATAGGAATTAAACCAAAAAAGAGCATTTTGATTCAAACCAATGGAATAGAGTTTGTCAAGAAGAAGATAGTGATCTACCAAATCAAAAGCCTTAGTAAGATCAATAAAGATTGCACCTGTGAATTGAGATTTATCAAAGGATGACAGCACATCATTTGTGAACTTCAGTAGAGCAGTAGTAGTGGAAAAATTAGGTCTAAATCCAGATTGTGATGGAGATAAAATATTGAATTGAGTTATATACTTTGATAATTGATTAAAAATAAGTTTCTCAAACATTTTTGCAGTAGTACAAATAATAGAAATTGGACGAAAATTGTTCATATCGGACCTATCACCATCTTTGAAAAGAGGAGTAACTCTGGCACATTTCTATAACGAGGGAAATGCACAAGTAGATAAAGATAAGTTAAATAAATCCGCAAGAGGATATATTAATACATGAGCAGCAAGTTTCACAAATTTTGCTTCTAGACCATCCGGACCCGCTTTACTATTGTCATTTAGCTCACAAATGGCATGAAAAACATCAATTGGAGAGATTTTGCTAAAAGAAAAATAATTATTAGTATTATTTAAATCGAGGTACCAGCCATCTCATAAGAGTTAAAGTGATGGGAGTCAAAAATGGAAGAGAAATGCTGATTAAAAGCCTTCGAAATAAGTACTGGGTCTGAAATAATTTCATTATTTATTTTTATCTGATTTATAGGAATTTTTTTTGTTTTATTTAGAATGTGATTCAAATGATTCCAGAACTGTCTAGAATTACTAAAGTCTCGAGAAAAGCTATTTTTCTAACACGTTCCTTGTTTTTGTCTTACATAGGTTCCTGAGGTATCTAACATTTTCCCAGTCTGTAGCATCTTTAGAAGAGCGATATTTGGCCCAGGCTTTATCCCTTTGTTTAAAAAGACTTATTAGATTCGAGCTAATCCAGGGTAAATGCCTGCCTTTAACTCTACTAGTTTTCATGGGAGCATGTTTATCAATTACATTAGTAATTTCTGAATAAAAAAAAGTCAATGCATCGTCCGCATAAGGAATTAACTGAAATCTTTCCCACCTAATTGCAATTAGGTCCTGAATAAAAGAATGAACATTAATATTCTTACATTGTCTCGCTCGAATAATTCTAGGAGGGGAGCTTCGAATTTTAATTTTCCACACACAAAATATAACAGAATGGTCGCTTAGGCAGTCTGACATCACACCCGATTTAGCTATTCGTTCAGGGTGGGTGACTAAAATCCAGTCCAGCAGGGATGACGATCTATAATCAACTCTAGTGGGTTCATTAATTAACTGAGTGAGATTTACACTGCTAATTAAATTTCTATCAATGGAGGAGGAACGATCAAGCCAATTCCTATTGAAATCTCCCAAAATAATCATTTCATTCAGCCTTCCAAGAGAATTAATAGTTGCTAATATACATTTTATAGAGTCACTTGCAGAAGACGGAGGCCTATATATGTTACCAATTGTTAAATGTTTATTATCATGAAAAGTAATATTAATAAAGAGACTTTCAAAATTAACTGGTTCTTCATTCGGAATAAGACACTCAGAAACTAGGTTCGCAGCAACATAAGAGGCCACCCCACCACCTCTAGATGCCCTATCACATCTATACAAAACAAAATTATCAATTCCCACACTTTCATCAGTAATTTTACTGTGTAACCATGTTTCTGAAATAGTAACAATATTAGGTTTATAATGAGTAACCCAGGCTCTAAGTTCATCAATTTTTGATACAAGGCTCCTAATATTCAAATGAAATATTCTCAAACCTTTAATTCCTTCTATTGTATTTCCTGAAAATATAATAGCAACAAGTCAAAACAAGAGAGTTGGATGAAAGCAGTGAAAGAGCAACAGCCACACATCAGATAAACACAAACATTATTCCTAACACATAGCAGCACACATAAAGTACTCAATACACACACCATAAACACATACCAACAAAAAAATACACACACAGGACAGTAAAAAATGATAAAGACAAAAACAAAAATAAGCTGCATAATAAAACAACATACAGCTCAGCCTGCTTAGCTCAAAAGTAGAGGCAAAAATGAACAGCACAAGGTCCATGGGCTACATACTAATTCATTTTAATGTTATATCAATTGACATCCATAAATCATAATAATAACAATGAACTAAAGAATATAAATTATATTTCATTCCAATTTAAAAGTCAAACCTCAAATTTAACACATTACGACAACAGCGGCTACTCAAGTAAACTACTCAAGTTTACAACAGTTAACGACAAACAAACAAAAAGCTACAGAAACACCCAGTAGTAGTCCATAGATCTATCACCCCGGAGCAACTCGATACTGAAGGTGGGAAAATACCCAAATTTAGGAAAAGAAAAAGTTCATATTAATTGATAAGGTTATGCTACTGTTAGCTTCAGATATCAAGGAGAGTCAGTGGAGAGATCAGTGAGGAATACTTCAACCTCTTCAGGAGATTGGAAAAGGTTTACCTTGCCATCATGGATTACTTTCAGCGTGCACGGGAAGATCAGTGAATATTTAAAGTCCAAACCCCGAAGCTTTTTCTTTACCGGGTCAAACTGCCGTCGCTTCGCAGTAAGAGCAGCGCTGAAGTCAGGGTAGATATGAATCCGTGATCCATTGAACACAAGCTCGTTTTTATCCCTTGAGAGCTTCAGAATATTTAACTTGTCCTGGAAATGAAGAAATTTAACCAGGATTGGCCTTGGTCTGGTGGAGTTGAACTTATCAAAGAGAGGAGTGCGATGACACCGTTGAATAACCAGAGGAGCAGGGAGATTCTCCACGCCTAGGAGCTGCGGTATCAGGCGATTCATAAAGCTGTAGATATCACTGCCCTCTGATTTCTCAGGAACAGATATAAAACGAAGGTTGGAGGCACGACTGCGATTCTCCGCAGCTTCAGTACGTTCAATCAGGTCGGAGTTTTCCTTTTCTAGTGTTTTCACTCGTTGTATCAGATCGCGCACATCATCTTCATTGGAACTCACTCTCTGCTCAAGTTCTGTCACATGTTCACCAAGTATAGCAACTGAGCCTTCAATTTTGTTTAAGCTCTGATTGATAATATCCAGTTTCGAGTCCAGATGGAAAATCATCTCAGTCTTAATTTGCTGCATCCCTTCCCAAATTTTTTGGAGGGAGATTGGATCATCATGAGTCATTGTGAGTTTCCACTTCTTGCACAGAAGTGTGTGGTAAAGTATTCCACTAGTATTTTGGAGACCTCGAATATCTTAAATTATTGACCGTAAATAAAAGAGGAAAATATATCTCATAAGAACCTTAGTTGACAAAAGTATGAGCAAGCAGGCTTCAGCTTGTTAGGCAAGATGTGGGAGCAATAATGATTCCTCCACTTTGAGCTGATGATGTTCTGCTGAAGTGTGTTTTCTGTAGTTGCTAATGCTCTTTTTACACACACACTGAACAACATGAAGCATTGCTTGGTCACTGGTTGAGCTAAACTGGTATCATCTAATTGTGTAGTTAAATTTAACAGCTGACAGATATTCAACATCTAACAGAAGGACGGACAAAACCAGTCAAATATCCACTGATCTGTGTACAGTGAGAGTGTGTGTGTGTAGAGCGAGTGTGTGTGTGTGTACAGCGAGAGTGTGTGTGTAGAGCGAGTGTGTGTGTGTGTACAGCGAGAGTGTGTGTGTACAGCGAGAGTGTGTGTGTGTAGAGCGAGTGTGTGTGTGTACAGCAAGTGTGTGTGTGTACAGCGAGAGTGTGCGTGTGTACAGCGAGTGTGTGTGTGTACAGCGAGTGTGTGTACACAGCGAGAGTGTGTGTGTACAGCGAGAGTGTGTGTGTACAGCGCGAGTGTGTGTACAGCGAGTGTGTGTGTGTACAGCGAGTGTGTGTGTGTACAGCGAGTGTGTGTGTGTACAGCGAGTGTGTGTGTACAGCGAGTGTGTGTGTACAGCGAGAGTGTGTGTGTAGAGCGAGTGTGTGTGTGTGTACAGCGAGAGTGTGCGTGTGTACAGCGAGAGTGTGTGTGTACAGCGAGAGTGTGTGTGTGTAGAGCGAGTGTGTGTGTGTACAGCAAGTGTGTGTGTGTACAGCGAGAGTGTGCGTGTGTACAGCGAGTGTGTGTACAGCGAGTGTGTGTGTACACAGCGAGAGTGTGTGTGTACAGCGAGAGTGTGTGTGTACAGCGCGAGTGTGTGTACAGCGAGTGTGTGTGTGTACAGCGAGTGTGTGTGTGTACAGCGAGTGTGTGTGTACAGCGAGTGTGTATGTGTACAGCGAGTGTGTGTGTGTGTACAGCGAGTGTGTGTGTGTACAGCGAGTATTTGTGTGTACAGCGAGTGTGTGTGTTTACAGCGAGTGTGTGTGTACAGCGAGTATTTGTGTGTACAGCGAGTGTGTGTGTTTACAGCGAGTGTGTGTGTGTACAGCGAGTGTGTGTGTGTGTGTGTGTACAGTGTGTGTGTGTGTACAGCGAGTGTGTGTGTACAGCGAGTGTGTGTGTACAGCGAGTCTGTGTGTACAGCGAGTGTGTGTGTGTACAGCGAGTGTGTGTGTGTGTGTACAGCGAGTGTGTGTGTGTGTACAGCGAGTGTGTGTGTGTGTGTGTACAGCGAGTGTGTGTGTGTGTACAGCGAGTGTGTGTGTACAGCGAGTGTGTGTGTGTACAGCGAGTGTGTATGTGTACAGCGAGTGTGTGTGTGTGTACAGCGAGTGTGTGTGTGTACAGCGAGTGTGTGTGTACAGCTAGTGTGTGTGTGTACAGCTAGCGTGTGTGTGTAGAGCGAGCGTGTGTGTGTGTACAGCGAGTGTGTGTGTACAGCTAGTGTGTGTGTGTAGAGCGAGTGTGTGTGTGTGTACAGCGAGTGTGTGTACAGCGAGTGTGTGTGTGTACAGCGAGTGGTACAGCGAGTGTGTGTGTGTGTACAGCGAGTGTGTGTGTGTACATTGAGTGGTACAGCGAGTGTGTGTGTGTGTGCAGCGAGTGTGTGTGTGTACAGCGAGTGTGTGTGTGTGTGTGTGTGTACAGTGAGTGTGTGTGTGTGTGTGTGTGTACAGCGAGTGTGTGTGTGTGTACAGCGAGTGTGTGTGTACAGCGACTGTGTGTGTACAGCGTGTGTGTGTGTACAGCGAGTGTGTGTGTACAGCGAGTGTGTGTGTACAGCGAGTGTGTGTGTGTGTACAGCGAGTGTGTGTGTGTGTGTACAGCGAGTGTGTGTGTGTGTACAGCGAGTGTGTGTGTACAGCGAGTGTGTGTGTACAGCGAGTGTGTGTGTGTACAGCGAGTGTGTGTGTGTACAGCGAGTGTGTGTGTGTACAGCGAGTGTGTGTGTACAGCGAGTGTGTGTGAACAGCGAGTGAGTGTGTGTGTGTACAGCGAGTGTGTGTGTACAGCGAGTGTGTGTGTGTGTACAGCGAGTGTGTGTGTACAGCGAGTGTGTGTGTGTGTACAGCGAGTGTGTGTGTGTACAGCGAGTGTGTGTGTGTACAGCGAGTGTGTGTGTACAGCGAGTGTGTGTGTACAGCGAGTGTGTGTGTACAGCGAGTGTGTGTGTACAGCGGGTGTGTGTACAGCGAGTGTGTGTGTGTGTGTACAGCGAGTGTGTGTGTACAGCGAGTGTGTGTGTACAGCGAGTGTGTGTGTACAGCGAGTGTGTGTGTACAGCGAGTGTGTGTGTACAGCGAGTGTGTGTGTACAGCGAGTGTGTGTGTGTACAGCGAGTGTGTGTGTGTGTACAGCGAGTGTGTGTGTACAGCGAGTGTGTGTGTACAGCGAGTGTGTGTACAGCGAGTGTGTGTGTACAGCGAGTGTGTGTGTACAGCGAGTGTGTGTGTACAGCGAGTGTGTGTGTGTGTACAGCGAGTGTGTGTGTACAGCGAGTGTGTGTGTACAGCGAGTGTGTGTGTACAGCGAGTGTGTGTGTACAGCGAGTGTGCAGCGAGTGTGTGTGTACAGCGAGTGTGTGTGTACAGCGAGTGTGTGTGTACAGCGAGTGTGTGTGTACAGCGTGTGTGTGTGTACAGCGAGTGTGTGTGTGTGTGTGTGTGTACAGCGAGTGTGTGTGTACAGCGAGTGTGTGTGTACAGCGAGTGTGTGGCTACAGCGAGTGTGTGGCTACAGCGAGTGTGTGTGTACAGCGAGTGTGTGTGTACAGCGAGTGTGTGTGTACAGCGAGTGTGTGGCTACAGCGAGTGTGTGGCTACAGCGAGTGTGTGTGTACAGCGAGTGTGTGGCTACAGCGAGTGTGTGGCTACAGCGAGTGTGTGGCTACAGCGAGTGTGTGGCTACAGCGAGTGTGTGTGTACAGCGAGTGTGTGTGTACAGCGTGTGTGTGTGCAGCGA